AGTGAGAGATACCGTTGTTGGAAGAGTCAATATTGGGAAGGAGGTCTGCCTGTTGGCACGCGTGGAGGGACGGCTCTGATGGAATGAGAAGTAACTTTGGCTAAGACTCAATGGGCTAAGAATGGTTGATAAATTTCCTATCGCTTCACGACGGGATATCTGTGAATATACTATCCGGATCGAGGTCAAATATGATAACACAGGGAAATTCCATTGAAGTCGGAGGTAGTTTCGCAATGGTAGAACTCAGACACTTCTAGCAGTTGCGAGTCTCGGTCACCAATAGTGTAATAGCTTAAGATATTGAGGAAGACCATGGCTGCTACGAACATCAGGTCTGGTTCCGTGTGTCAGGAGAGGAAGTTTGACACCAAGTGGTAGGAGCCGTTTGTCCTGTGCAAAACTAATGGGAAGTTGGAACCCACGAGGGCGGCGTCTGAAGTATGGGAACACGGCCGTCGTCCCGGGAGTTGATGTGATAGTCATTCTCATGGAGATGATCGTCCAAGCCGTATTGGGGTCCTAAAACACTAGTGAACACGTGCTAGCACTCGAAAAGGCCAAGGCATGGAACGATGCCCACGGAGGTGTGCCTCTATATGCACTTGAACTTTCAATACCTGATCGTTTAGTCATCGCCGGCGTCTCCATTCCGTCGAGTTGGCAACTCCCCTTATCGGCAAGAAATGCGTTCAAATCAGACGGGCGATTTTCCGTGTTCGAGTTCTTGATGGCATTCCCTAAGGTTGCATTGGTCTCCGAGGTAAGTGCATAGTTGCCTTCGTTCTCAATTTGAATAAATTTACTTGACATTGCGTGTAGTTTGGTTTTATCTCTGTGTATCCCTTGATTAAGCCGCATGCGTAAAGCCTGGTAATTTCCCAAGAAAATCACAGAGCAGATGTGCTCGATATAAGGGGAGTCTGCCTTGCTTCAAACGCCATTCTGGCTTTTGGTTGGTATACTGATTAAAGATTTCTGCGTCCAGTACTTTAGAATTCACTTTGTAGGAGCTGAACTGCAGGCATAAAACAACATTCGTCCTGTCGAATCGTTGCAGAGCGACCGTGCTTTTTTATGACCATATGTCTTATAGTCACCTCACCTCGGCGAGGGACGTCGTGTGCCAGTGCTTTTAAATGTTGGGTTATTGTTTTGAATATGTTCCTGCTATACATTTCTGTTCCTCACATTTCTGTTGTATTTTCGTGGATCAAATAATTGTCTACTGCGTTTATTTAAATTGCGAGAATAGC